TATTTCTCCTCTATTGCTATTCTTCCCACTTTCCACTGGTCATTAAATAGTTACATAAAAAGCAGAAGTGCTTGCTTTATAGTAAATTAAAATTACTCAATTTTCTTTCTCTTAATCGTATCAAGTGTATTCAAGATCTGGCAGAGTTTAAATTTTTGCACCATGTTTTGTGGCAGAGCTTTCCAAACATCCCATGTTGGTGAAACACGTTACAGACATGCATCATTTTGTGACAGAGTTCTCTAGCAAACCAAAGTTTAAATCAACCCATTATCAGAGATACAGAGACATATATAAATTGTAATAATCAACTATAATCTTAGTGGGGGGGGGGGGGTTACATGTAATGCTTCTGAGGTAGGTATTCTCCAGCAAATACCTGTGTATTTGATTTTTGTGGCCTTAGTGTAAAATGTTGCATTTGTCTCTATTGAACTTAATTTTATGAATTTCAACTCTTTTTTTTTTACTTTTATAAGGTGATGCTGGGGGAAATGAAAGGAAAAAGAAAGAGGGGCTGACCAAGAGCAAGATGGGTGGATGGTAACCTTGAAGTGACTGGCTTGACTCTGAAGGAGATGGGGGTGGTGACAGCCAACAGGGAGCTCTGGCATCGGCTGGTCCAGGAGGTCAAGAAGAGTAGGAAACGATTGAATGAATAAACAACAACAAAGATCTTTTCAAATTCTGTTCCTATCCTCCAATATTTTAACTATTCCTCCCACTTTGTATCCTTTTCAAATTTGAAAAGAATTCCCTCCACTCCGTCATCTCTTCTAAATCATTGAAAACATTGAAGATCATTGGCCTCAGGACAGAATCTATGGCACTCCACTTGAGATCTTCTTTCAATTTGGAGTTCTGCCACTGAGGACAGCTCTTTAAAAATGGTTTTCCAATCAATTATGGATCCATCTCCTAGTACTCCCATCTGTTCCCTATTTGGCCAATCTGCTAGTCATGGATTTAAGTTTGGAAAAAAAAAATCAAGGCTGGGAAAGGCACTGATTATAAATGTGTTGCCTTGTTTTAAAAAATAAGAAAGGATACTCTTAACAGAATATATGCACTTGAAATTGAAAGGGTTAACAAGGCTATAGGGAGACTACTAACAGCCATGTCCTTTCTGAGGCATATTTAAAATGGAAAGTAAAAGAGAGAGAGAGAGAGAAAGCTTCGGTTCATCATTTTCTATTGTGATAGATCTGTAAACATAGTCATCCAATCATCTGATCTTGGAGATAATATCCCTTTGACAGCAATGAAATGAATAATGAGATTCCCTAATTCCTGAGCAGCAGAAATATTGGCAACACCCATCCGACACTGATTTGTTGTTTACATAGGAAACAATGATGTAAAAAAATAGAGACTGCTTGTAACATGTCTTGTAAATCTAAATATGTGTTCCGGTGGGCGGGAAGATGTCAATGCAAGTTGTCACTATTAACAACTGTTTTGTTGTGTCTTGTGCTGCTAATCCTCCTTTGCAATAGGCAGTTAAACTAGTGCCAAGTGCAAGAATGGGACAACAGTAGTTGTACAGGTCAGTTTTAGTGTTGAGCAGTTACAGATCAAACTTAGATGGTGTTTAGAATTTTATTTTATTTCCCATTTGGAAAATAAGTGAGTGATTGAAAAGGACATTGGGAGAATTTCCTATCCTGGAGTGCAACAGCAGGACTGTCCCTCTGAGATTGCTGTAGTGTTTTCTCTTCTCTGGATAATAGGCTTCAACTTATCCATTCGTTTTTGTTTTTGTTTTTGTCGTATCAGGAGCGACCTGAGAAACTGCAAGCCGCTTCTGGTGTGAGAGAATTGGCTGTCTGCAAGGACGTTGCCCAGGGGACGCCCGGATGATTTGATGTTTTTATCATCCTTGTGGGAGGCTTTTCTCATGTCCCCTCATGAGGAGCTGGAGCTGATAGAGGGAGCTCATCCGCCCCTCCCCGGATTCAAACCTGTGACCTGTCGGTCTTCAGTCCTGCCGGCACAGGAGTTTAACCCACTGCACCACCGGGGGCTCCTATCCTAACTTATCCATGAGACATATCAAAATCCTTAATATTGGCCCTTAAACTTGTCCTTTACTTATACATAAGGTCAACTTATAAATGGGTATGCACAGTATAACAGAGATGTGAATAATACTAGCAGAAGTTCTAATCTTCAACCAGAAAAAGTGCAGTGATACCCCAGCATACTGTAACAGCCAGTAAAGGGAATTGTGAAACCACTGCACATGTTTTCAAATTTTGTTAGTTTCCTGCCAAAAAATTGGGAGAAATGGGTGTTTTGTGGAATCATAGAATCATAGAGTTGGAAGAGAACTTGTGGGGCATCCAATCCAACCCCCTGCCAAGAAGCAGGAAAATCACATTCAAAGCACCCCTGACAGATGGCCATCCATGACACCCTGTGTCAGAGAGTTCCACTGCTGAACAGGTCTCACAGTTAGGAAGTTCTTCCTAATGTTCAGGTGGAATCTCCTTTCCTGTAATTTGAACCCATTGTTCCATGTCCTAGTCTCCAGGGCAGCAGAAAACAAACTTGCTCCTTCCTCCCCATGAGGACATGGCCATCATGTCTCCTCTCAGCCTTCTCTCCTGCAGGCTAAATATGCCCAGCTCTATAAGCCACTCCTCATTATGGTGAGCTCCCATTGTAAGGGCCAGCTTGTGCCAGGAGTTCGAAAACATGCAACTATGAGTAGATCAACAGGTACCACCTTGGTGAGAAGGCAATGGCGTTCTATGCCGTCATGCTAGCCACACGACCCTAGAGGCGTATATGGACAACACCGGTTCCTCGGCTTAGAAATGGAGATGACCACCACCCCCCAGAGGCAGACACGACTAGACTTAATGTCAGGAGAAAGCTTTACCTTTTAAGTCAGTAGAATATTTTTGAAAAAGATATAAGCTATTTGTGGATTTTATGAGCAATAAGAAATCTAAAGATTTAATAATCTGTGGCCATGGTTATGAATAATTTTAGCATAATTATTTAGTTGGGTCTGTAATAATACAATTTCTTCAGTCAATCAACAAGGGAAGGCCCAAAGCATAGCACAAAGTCTAATGTACAAAAGGGTGAATATAATTTGTACTCTTGGAAGGTAAAGGCAGTTTGGCAATTGAAGGGTTACAAGCTATACTCAGTAAACAAGACTTGCAAGCAGGCTTTTAGGCAAAGAGATGATTCAGTAGAAGAGACCAGGTAGAGAAGCTGTTCCTGGATCCTTGACCATTTTGAAAGAAGACAAGTTAATTTTAAAACTACAAACTGGAACTTTTCTATAACCCCCCCCCCCCCAAACACAACACATTTCCTGCTGAGAAAAGGAAATAGTCTCGTTGTTCCATTCAAAAAAGGAACCAATGCTTTAACATTTTGATTGGGACAGTTAAGGACCAGTTAAGAGTCATTAAGAACCTCATCCCTTGGAGGCCGAGAAGCCGGAGGAGCGGGGGACAGCAGGGGAAACCGTGTGGGCAACGTGCTGCTTCATCCCTTTACTGTGGTTGGTCATGGGGTCCCTTCCCATGACATTTCCCTGCTGTACCCAACTTCCTCCTGCATCCTCCCTGGCTTCTTCTCTGTCCGCTAGCACCGAGTCCTGCCAAAAGTAGCCCTGCGCCATCTGCTGGACTTTGGTGGACTCTGTGTCGACAGCATGCCACCTCACCGAGAAGAAGAGAAGTCTCTTCTCAGCCTCTATTGACATTGATATTACAACAGACTGATAGAGCCTTGCTTTTTAAGCATTTATATCRCATCCTTCTCAACCCCCTGGGGGGGGGGGGGMTTCACAGCGGCTTTCAAACCGGCAACCATTAGATGCTAACAGCAAACAAACAATAACAGTACAAAACAGACAAATATTAGATAAAACAACAAAATTATAAATATCCACTAAAATATTAAAACACAGCCAAGCCCAAATTCCAATTCCAAATCAGAATCCAAAGTTCGAGTCCGAGGTCTAGCAATTGTCAGTTCTCATAAGTCATTGCAATTACTGCTAGGTAGCTGTCCGAATGTTTGGTCCCAAAACCATGATTTCAGCTTTTTTCTAAAGGAGAGGAAAGAGGAGGGTCACCCTGATTTCACTGGGGAGTGTGTTTCATAGATGGGGGACCACCACCGAGAAGGCCATATCTCTCGTCCCCACCAGTCACGCTTGTGAGGATGACAGGATCAAGAGCAGAGCCTCCCCTGACGCTAATAAGCTCTGAGGTTGATCGTAGAGGGAGATACGTTCAGACAAGTAAGCTGAGCCAGAACCATATAGGGCTTTATAGGCCAAAACCAGCACTTGTGGACCAGCAGCCAGTGGAGCTGACATAACAGGGGGGTGGTATGCTTCCTGTATGTCGCTCCAGTGAATAATCAGTGGTCAATGGTTCCCAACCTTTGGTTCTCCGGGTATTTTGGACTTTAGCTACAACAATTCCCAACAACTGGTAAGCTAGCTGGGATTTCTGGAAGTTGACGTCCCAAACAACTGGAAGACTAAAGGTTGGGAACCACTGCTGCAGCTGGAGCTCCTGTATTGAATGGATGAGGGGTGTACTTGGTGTCCTTGGGGCCCCTTTCAACTCTATGATTCTGATTCTATGATTCCATGATTAAACCCCAGATTTCTTAGTGGCTATTCCTCCCAACTTTAGAATAGAACATCACATTATTATTATTATTATTATTATTATTATTATTATTATTATTATTATTTACTCAATTTATTGGATGCCTATTTCTTTAAATAAAGGTTTTAGATGTATTGCACTAGAACTAGGGAAAAATTATATCCCCAAATGTACTGTAGTACCTGAATATACCTTGTGCAAGCCTTTTGATTGGGCTTTTTTTTTTTTTGCATTAGGTGAACAGGCCTGTTATTAGGATTCACACTTTGTCAAAACAATGCCATACCCAGAGTTTTATTAAATGCTTTCTTTATTAAGATATTGGCAAAATAAAGTTTGAGTTGTTGGGGTGGGAGAGAGAGAAAGATTGAAGTTCACATATTTCAAAGAAAAACAACATTTTCCTGTTACACAGAAAGATTTTCACTCATGATGTTTTCCCTGTTAAAATTCAAGTTAAAGTCTACAGTTTAAAAGCACAAATCCATATCCACCTACACAAAAGAAAATACCACTCAGTTCAATCAGGCTTACTCCAAGTAGTTTAATAACCATCTAATGCTGACTTTAGACAATGATAGGGAAGGTTGGCAGTCCAAGAGGTAGGGCATCCCACCACAAAGTAAGACTAAGCCTTTTTGCACCACAAATTGGAATCGGAATTCAGTACAATTCAGGTTAGAAGATTTCAGAGTGAATCTTTTAGTGAAATAGGAAATGTGATCTCATAACACATTTCCTGTTTCACTAAAAAACCAATCCTAAGACAAAAATCTATCCTAAGGCACGTCTCCCAGAACTAGGTTACAGTCCAAGGAGAAAGTACATCTTTGGATATTGTGTTTCTTTAAAGATTTTTAAGAGACAAAAGTTCTCTCCACTTTCCAAACTGCAAACTTTTAAAAATAGCTGCCATGCTAAAAAGCTGAGGCCATTTCTCGAGGTCAGGAGGAAGGCTATTCTATAAAAAGCGCAACTGATATAAATGGCCAGAGAAAGAAATGCCACTTAAACAAGGCACAAAGCCCTGTCCCAATGTGAGAATTAGGCCCATCACCAGATAAAAAGTCTCTTTCCTCCAATCTCTTGAATGAATTGCATTATAGAGAATGAAGGAAAGAGCAAGAAGATCCAGAGGACTGCCATTGTCAAAAACGTATTTGTGTTCCATTAGTTTCCCTGCATGGATCGCAGGAGTTCCTTTATTCTGGTTTTGCAAATCTGCCAAGGGCAAGGATGCTTTGGGTACAATTATGGTGGACAAAGTACAGGAAGGGATGGTTGGCCACAAACTCCAGGACTTCCCGATTCTGACGCCTATCCCGGGGGCAACGCGGGGAAGCAGCTGCCTCTTCACCACCCTCCTCATCAATCTCAAGGAATGTATCATGGACCAGTAGAGTAAGAGCAACTCCTTCTGTGCATGTAGCTCGAGAGAAATCAGCTTTCTCAGGATCAGCTAGATCATGCAGTGCCAGGTATTCATGGAGGTAAAGACTCTTCTCCAAGCTGAACTTGGGAATGAAAACATCTACCTCCTCAGGCTTCAGGTGGCAGGACCAGTCAAGCAGATGCTCGTGGGTCAGGGCATCTTCCAGCTAGAAAAACAAATACACAATTGTTGTGAGAACCTTTCAACCTAATGGGGCTTTGCTAAGAAAATACCCTTGCACCAACATTGTCTGATTGTTTGATGACCAGAGATGGGCTAGATCCATAAAGATTTTGGTCAAATGGAAGCAGTGAAATGTGGGAGAAGATGCATTACCTGTTCAAGGGCTTCTTGGGTGCAGTCAAGTGGGAGCAAAACGAACAAGCTCCATTCATGGTCTTTATAGGGGATCTCAAGCACTTGCACTTGGGTGTCGCAAATATTAAAGGTAGCTGTGTTGAAAATACCCTTTCTGTTCATCAGCTGCACAGAATAGCAAGTTTTCTGAAAAGAGATACAGAGAGAATGGGTTAATGTAAAATGTAAAAGGGAGCCATCCTTTTGATTTCATTGTGTAAACTATATTATTTTGGGGAATATGAACCTCAAGTCATAGGCTACAATGTTAAGATTATTGAACCAATACCAAGATCCAATTGTTTGCCCAAACTACTTTAGATCGATGGAGAACCCACTGTTGAGTATTTGCAGAAATGTTTATTTATAATCATCACTGTATAAATCTACTCTGCTTGCAACTAGATTCAAGTAATTATATTTTCTGTACATCAAAATTGAAAATAAAGGTCAACATCTGTCAAGCATTTTAAGTCCCCCTCTCTCATGAAGAATAATATGTTTAACTCTGCAAGAAAGGCATAAAATATACAAAATATAACCAACAAATAATATCCAGAAACGATAAGCAATTGCTTACTTTGAATTAGTAACTATGAAAACTGAGACACAGTGTGGTGTAATATTTTTAGCTATGATTCTAGATATGACAATTCAATTTCCCACTCAACTATGGACACCAACTAGGTAAGTCACATACTCTCAGGCCCAGAAAATCTCCTGTGACATTTACTTTATTGGGTCGCTATAAGTAAGAAATGACACGAAGGCACACAGCAACAGATATGTGTTTGTTTGTTTCTTTTATACCCCTCTTTATCTCTCACAAAGGAGACTCACAGCAGCTCCTGTGCAGGAAACTATCCCTCCTGTGCAAGAAACTATCATTTCCATCCACTACCAATGCTTAATAATTAAAACAGGTAGGAGCTGCTAGACAATATGGGGCAGAGGAGAGAGATTTTATCCAAATGATCACTTATGCCTTGCCAAAAGTAGTGATATCCACCACCCTATTGGAAGCAATAGGGCTGGCTATTTGTGATTCAGTGTAAATTGCATCACTACAATATGAGATTTTAGCACTTTTAACTATTTGTGATTCAGTGTAAATTGCATCACTACAATATGAGACTTTAGCACTTTTAACTTCATTTGAATGGCAGTTCTGATTATCTAAGCCAAAGAGCGGAACAAACTCTCTGTATCAATTCCCACAACGAACTTGCAAAGTTATTCTTTTCCACTCTGCAAAACTGAGACAGAAGCTAAGTACATAAATAATACATAACTCACCGCATCTGCACAGTGTGGGTAGAATGGGGCATCTACTGTGAGTGTTTTGTCAAACTTCACATGCCATTCTCCCTTGAAGTAGAGAGCGTTCACTTTCAGGAGCTGAGCAAGACAGTCAAAGCTGCCCTTGGGGAGGAGAGACTTGATTTTACCTTGCAACAAAATGAATACAATACTTTATTTAGTTTACTGCATTTTTATCCATTACATTTGACTCTGAGTCAATGCTTCAAATATATCAAAATTACTTTTTTCTGGGATTTGGGGAAAACATAAATCAGCATGGTTACCCTTGAGATGTTTGACACTACCACTCCCAGTATCTAGTCAACTCATTGAAAAGAACAGGAACAAAAAGCTAGGATTTTTCAGTTAGTCTGGCTGTTCAATTAATTGCTGCTTTTTTGAACAACCATCTTGGGACCAAAAAGTTATATAAAGATGGGTGAATGGATGATGTATTCTTACCTTGTGTCTTGACCTCAACCCAAAGGTTTATGATTCTCCTCACTTCCTCGGGAGCATTCTTCAGATCAGCTTCAGCCACTTCTGACCAATACAGTTTCAGAGCACAGTAAATAAATTTCTGGACAGAAGGAGTGGGGTGGGAGAGAGATCATACATTAATATATATATATAGAAAACTTTGATTAAAAATTATTAGGAATATTGTAAACTGATCACAATGAGTTGCAAAGTAGAAAAGTTCTTATCAACCTTCTAAAAGTCAAGAAAGAAATACAGCTTGATTGACATCTGTGGACAAGGTACTCCAGGAAACAAGACCAGGCATAGAAAAGGGATTACTAGTTTCTAACTATCTCAAAGTTCTACTAATTGTCAGAAAGTCTACACAACTTTTGCTGAGGGACCACTTTATAGAAAAGCATCCTTAAATTATCTGAAGGAATGAGACAAAGTTTTGTTGATAGAAGTAGAGAGAACCCATTGATGTTAGAGTTCACTCAAGTCCTGTTGATGAGAGATTTTGGTCCCCATGCTGCAATGGACCCATCGGAGAATTTAAAATCAGAGAGTTACCTCAATGAAGTCAATGACATGGTCTCCATAGAGCTTGTTGGCAAAATTCAGAGTATAGTTGGTGCTGGGTGCATTCAGGGTTGCAAGGATTTTGCTGAATGCGGTATGGACTCCTTCGGGTGTCTCACACTCATAATCTGGAACATTCTAATAATGAAAACAGAAAGGTTACCTCTGAGTCAATTGTAGAACTAGCTCTTAAATAGCTGCTCTGTTACGATTTCTTGATATCTTATTGAAAACAGAAAATGAAAAGTAAATATTTACTCAATTGTGCTTACTCTTTCAGGGCAAGGAGAGCACTCAGGCTCAGGACGGGCTCTTGGTCTTTCGCATTCTGGCTCAGGACGGTCTCTTGGTCTTTGGCATTCTGGTTCAGGGCGGGCTCTTGGTCTTTGGCATTCTGGTTCAGGACGGGCTCTTGGTCTTTGGCATTCTGGCTCAGTACGAGGTCTTGCCTTGGGGCAGGATTCACTTCTTTGTTGTGTCTGTTGTGACTGAAATGAAAGGAACAGAAATTAATAGTCATGTCAAGTTAAAGACATTTAAAGAAAGGGCAAATCCCCTTTGCATAAAGTCAGATTAACTATTCAAAATCTTTAATAAACATATCTGACATGTATTCTGCATAACACAACTGAAGAATGCAAATAATGCACTCATAACTATATAATGTTAATGCAACTGAATTCAATCACACACACAAATGTTTGTTGGGAATGTGCCTGTGAAAAATTATATCTTTTAGATACAATTCTCTGCAACTGCTATGGAATTCCATGCTGAGTTATTTGATGCTTTTCAAGTTAGGCTTGGGTAAATATGGTAGAGGAGAGATATACAAAACTGTAATATTTAGGCTTTCAAGTAGCTACCTTGAGTGTGATTGCTGATCTTCCAAAGCTTCTGGCTGCTGAAATATATCTTTTGTGTTTGGATCCATCACATTCTTCCAGTTCATCCCAGTGCAGGATCTTGGGGGAAAAAATGTAACATTGCTTCAAGAGTTTCCAATCATATAAAAAACAACTTTGTTACATTGATTTCTATGTTTTGTTTTGTTTTTTACTCCTTAGCTCCCTTATACTACAGTGGTGCATCTAGTTAACCACAAAATAGATGTCATGCTGTATGACAATCTTGTGAATGATGAAGCATGTATATGATACCTTATCAGAGTCATGCCAATTTGATAATCCACTTTGATGATGAACGCTTTGGCATGATATTGGTAAGTATCCACCAGCAATGAACCATTGTGCCCAAGAATTTGGGGAAAGGTTCATTTTCTATATATTTATGTATATATTGACTAAAAAATATAATCTGCACACACTGAAGAAAGCCATATATGGTGCAGATTTTATTCCATGCCTAAACATTTTAAAGCATAGTGACATAAGGTGAGATTTGAAGGAAATTAAATAGTAAATTAAAATCTAAAAGAACTCTTCAAACAATTAAAAATTAAGAGCCCACTATATACAGTGGTCAAAATATCAGATATGCTTTTCAATAGAAATGCACAAATGTTGTAAAAGAAGGGAGATTAGGGTAACTGTTTTTATAAATCTGTGTACAACATAACAATCTCCAGCAAAGTCTTGTAAAGGAAAGTTCAAGAAATATACACTGCACAGTATATCTATAAAGGTTAAGACTTATGAGAATAATCCATACAGTGTAAGGCATAACTTCTTAAAGTGCTCTACTCATGACCCCTTTTGGCCCAAGAAATGTTTATATGACCTCGAATATATAGGTATATAAAACAGGTATAAAATCAAACATTTAGTGATAACAATTTAGCATCTGTAAGGTTTGCTAAACAGGCGGATTCTTCTACAACTGAAGCATCTACTGCAGAGTCTACTGTAAACACTGCACAACATATTCATCTAAAATAGCCAGAAAGTAGTGTTCAGAAACATTTAATGTTGCCAATTTTTGGAACCACGATATTATACTAAAGAGGACGCATATTTGGCATCAGGTCCTAGAATTTAAGAAGCAATGGTGTAAGACACATAGTTATATCAACATAAAATAGACCTCTGTGCTATTGCTATGTTTAGGTGTCAATAATATTATTGACCTTGGGGAAAAACATTGAGTTCTGTAACTTAAGGTCTTTCAGTGACAATAAAAACTTGATGAAGGCTTACATTGTTTGCCAGTATTTACACTGTATATCTCAGTTCTGCCTTCCTTTGCAATTTAATTTGAAGGACCTCATCAGGTGAGGTTTGGGAAGTGTCCTAGAACACTTTCCCACTAGTCCAGCAACAGATGGGCAGTCTACCCATCCCACGATGTCACTTGACTTCCGGTGAAGGCCCTGCCCACAACTGGAGTGGAAGCATCATATGTCATTTCCTTCCCAACATGGGAGCCTGCCTGTAATGGGTTGGCTCCAACGGGGGTTGTATGGACCCTCACCTGAGTGTGATGAGAGAAGCAATGCTGCGAGGGAGCAGTGTGCAGGGTGACAGATTCACCCTGCTGCCCCTCTGTTCAGCAGCAAAGCCAGGTGAAACAGCACATTTTGTCTGGCTTATGTGATAAGGTCACTGGTCTAAGATGGACATGCTGTAAAACAAAAAGGATGTGATGATATACTGAAGAGCAGCAATGGCAAGGCTGTTTGCCAGTCAAACCAACCTGCAGTCTCCATTCCTTCTATTTATTGATGCCTACCTTCTCAATCTCAGCTGCCTGTTCACATCCAGATGCAAGGGCAAGCAGACCAAGAGATGAGGTGGCATTCACAGGGGCAAACAGGAGGTTCTCACATGGGTGCTCCTTCCTCAATGAATGGTAAACGTCAACAGCAAATTTGGCATTGGCTTCAGGAAGAGTAGTCATGATGAAGTTCAAAAGGCCTAAGGGAAAAACAAAAACTCTTCAGTATTGTGCAATCTGTCAGAATGTTCTTTCAATCATATTTAAACAGCCCAACTCATTGAGATGAAGCATATTGTTGGAATGGAACGCAGAGCTATAATCTAACCATCTCCTCAAGCTACACTTTCTACATACTTATGGCGTTCCATTTAATACTGAGGTGAAACATACTGTTAGGTACACACTACAATAATCTAGCCATCCCTCCAAACCATAATTTTGAAGTATCTGTGAATCACTCAACACAAGGATACCTAACGAGCTGAAAGGAAGGTTCTTTACCTAGACCTCAGCAGAGATGATCAGAGACTGTCAGCTGAGTGAGATGTTCTTCTGCTGTGAAGTGCTGGTATTTATACTGATGTTCAGACACCCCCACAGCCATTAAAGATGCTTGCATTTCTAAATCTGCAACAGTTTGATTAAATATAATTTACATAATGAAAATATGTAAACTGGACCTTTGCAATCTTCTAACATAATTATCATAGAGTATTACATTTACTGCATTTATGTAGTATAATTAGCTACACCTCATATACTGCAGAGTGTCGAGATTGCAACACTGAAAGTTGCATCCTTTCCGGCTTCAAAGCACTTTGTGTGTTGATAATGCAGTGCACTCCAAATAATAATCATTTTCAGTCTTTCCACTATATCAATATCCCCTAAAGCCAAGAGTTTCCAAGAAGACTCCCGTAAAGGAATGTTCTGTGAGGATCTCCATTGAGGAAACACAAACTAAGGATTATTCTCTTATCTCACCCATCATGTCATCATTATGCTTCCTGGAATATTAGTTGGTGCTTTGAAAAAACCAACCAATTTATCTGTGAAAGGGTATACATAGTATGGACCACCAAATCACTTGGATTTTTCAAAATATCAACCCATATTCCCAGGTTTTATCTAGGCTTTAGGAGAAACTGGAGTTAAGGCTAGAGAGAATGGACATTTAGTTGTACTCCCCAGCAAAGTTAAATTAATACAACAACTGTCAGAAGTTCACCAAGGCCATTTGGGGAGCAGGATCAAACCTTTCTGATATCTACAAATATTTGTTTAAACTGGAGAGGGAACATTGGAGTCCTCCTGATATGGAATGTAGTTGTTATCATTCCTCCCTAGGAGTGCTCAGGATTGCAGTAGGCTTGTGTATTTCAGATAAACCTTGATCCATTTCTGCTGGCCAGATTCCGGTAGACCCCTGTATCCATTTTCACATGCCTCCCAAAAATGGGCGGGTAGCCGGATAGCTGTTTTCATTTCACAACAAAAAAAAACGGCTAAATCCAACCGTTGGTGGCAATGGGGAACTTATGAGGCTCCCCTTTCCGTTCCTGGACATTTTCCTTTCTTCTGTTCATGGTAGCATGGGTTTCAGCAACAAGGTTAAGGAAGCAGAGACAGCTTGCATAAGACACATCGCAGCGTTCTTCTATTTCAATTGGCACAACAGGCAAGGCTCACAGGAAAACTCAGTGTGAGTAGCATGTGGCAGCCTCTTTGCATGCCACATGATGCTAAATAGAGGGTGAGGAGTCATGATAGGCTGCCACGTAGTCCCATCATGGATGAAAAAACATGATCGATGGCCCTTGCCATTATGGCCATCCAGCTAAGCCGAACAAGTTGGATTGGCTGAAGGAAAACAGCTAAAATGGATCCACGCACAAGCCTAAAGTGCAGTCCAACAACATGTGGAAAGGCACATGTTTCCCATCCTTGGTTTATATTCTTCGTTGGATTATTACTCTAAGAAACCTCGATGTTTCTATCAAAGCCCAAGGAATCTTAATATATGGGATTTTTTTTTCTTTCTCCAGTGACTTGGATTGGTGGATGAAAGAAGAGGGCTCAAAATACTGACATTTTTGGAGTAGTTCTCTGAGACCTAGACCAGAAAAACCACTTTGTGCTAAGTTATGAGAGTGCCTTCAACTTTCAGCCTTATTCTTTCTTTGCAAGCAAAATGATATTGCAGGGTCCTGGTTGGTATAGAGGGGATTTTTCCACAGATATGCCACATTTTTGAAATTGATTGCAACAATCAGACTGAAGCCACACTGGGTTAAAGCCCTCCACTTTCTTCCATGTTCCCAGTCTGGATGAAGCCATATATTTTCTTTTATTTTGAATACCCCGATCATACAATTGCTAATGTTGTATGTTTTTACCCTGTTTCCCCTTCCCTTCTGCTCCCTCATCCATATTGTGCTTCAGTCGTTATATTTATATTTTTAATGTACCAAACATACCAAGTTTGTATGAAAATGTGACTATTTTCTGTGCTGGTCAATGACCGAAATAAATGATTTGATTGAATTGCTAATGTTATGGATGGGTTCTTTTATGTGGCTCAGTGATAGGGACTCTATCACTGTCATACTGATTGCTGTGCAGGACTTGTCAAACAGGCAGGTCTTTTCATAGAATCTCAGAAACAAAGAGTTGGAAGAGACCACATGGGCCATCCAGTTCAACCCCCTGCCAAGAAGCAGGAAAATCGCATTCAAACCACCCCTGACAGATGGTGATCCAGCCTCTGTTTAAAAACCTTCAAAGAAGGAGCCTCCACCACACTCCACTGCAGAGAGTTCCACTGCTCACAGTCAGGAATATCTTCCCAATGTTCAGGTGGAATCTCCTTTCCTATAGTTTGAAACTATTGTTCCACGTCCTATCTCCAGGGCAGCAGAAAACAACCCTGCTCCCTCCTCCCTATGACTTCCCCTCACATATTTATACAGGGCTATCATGTCTCCTCTCAGACTTCTCTTCTTCAGGCTAAACATACCTAATTCTTTAAGCCGCACCTCATAGGGCTTGTTCTCCAGACCCATGATCATTTTAGTCGCCCTCCTCTGGACACATTCCAGCTTGTCAACATCTCCCTTCAATTGTGGAGCCCAGAAGTGGACGCAATATTCCAAGTGTGGTCTGACCAAGGCAGAATAGAGGGATAGCATGACTTCCCTGGATCTGGACACTAGACTCCTATTTATGCAGGCCAAAATCCCATTAGCTTTTTTAGCCACTGCATCACATTGTTGGCTCAAGAAATTGTTTCAAGAAAGGAGTGCCAATTTCAAATCTTTTCAATAGCAATGGAAATGACATGTCATCACTTCCATGTTGCTGTAGCGGTAGCTGTAAAGGCACAACCCTCTTGAGCACTAGAGGAATCCAACATTTCATGACGAGCTCCATCAGACCTTGTACCATTTCCATTAATATACTATGCGCTATATTAGGAAACTCAGTTCTGCCTTCTATGGACAGTACAGCAAAAAAGCTTGACTCTCTGACTCCAAATTAATTCTAATGCAAGAAAATGTATTCATTTCACCTTGTTGACACTGCTGTACAAATAAATAGCTGTCTTCTGTCTGACTTGTGGGAGAAAGGCAGAATATAAATATATATGCTTGATATTAAGGGTCTAATAAATTTTCCAAACACATCTTGTTGGATTTTTGTCATTAGATTTTGCTTTAAAGGAAAGGATACTGATACCCCAAGGATGACTGATCCCCCCCCCCCCAGCAAACATTTTGCAGTATGGATTCCACCAACACACTTCAACTTCTCTCAACAATTAACATCTTCATCAAGAATGAATAATCATTCTTGCCATTTAGAATCTCATTCAGCAAAATACACCTCTAATAGCCAATGAGACCAAGGCAATGTCAATATAATACAGATTCACTTTGTAACTCCTGCAGTAGACCTGGTGTATAGCCAGTTTTACAGCAAAATGCTGTCTTCTACTGTTAATCCAATAGAAGGAAAACTACAATTCTGATCCTTGTGTTTTTGAGATGTGTGGACAGCTGGATCATACTTAAATCTGGCCTGATCCAGTGTCCACACATCAAACAGACCTACTGCTGTGTCACCCAACAGAAGGAGCTTGCTGGCGAAGACTTCTGTTGATCACATGGTTTGGTGCTTTGCTGTGACTTCGCTAGAAGCAACATAACAAGGTCCTGCCAAAGAAATGGTTTTGACCAGTGAAACAGCAGCTGCACTGGCCCAATGTACTGTTGGTCTAGCTGGCATTCTGGATTGAAACGGGGCTCAAGAGCGTTCTCATGATGTATCCAGGACAGTAGTCCAGATTATTTTGTCAAGAATAGGCGCAGTGTTAAAAATTACAGTTAATATGTCATATAAAACAGTGGAACATGCAAGCATTATCATCCTCAGTAAAGGATGATGAGAGCTGTGATTTAATAATAATAATAATAATAATAATAATAATAATAATAATAATAATAATAATAGGGTTGTTGTAGGTTTTTTGGGCTATATGGCCATGTTCTAGAAGCATTCTCTCCTGACGTTTCACCTGCATCTATGGCAAGCATCCTCAGAGGTTGTGAGGTCTGTTGGAAACTAGGAAAATTGGGTTTATATATCTGTGGAATGTCCAGTGTGGGAGAAAGAACTCTTGTCTGTTGATGCTTGCCATAGATGCAGGTGAAACGTCAGGATATTTGCCATAGATGCAGGCGAAACATCAGGAGAGAATGCTTCTAGAACATGGCCATATAGCCAAAAAAAACTACAACAACCCAGTGATTCCGGCCATGAAAGCCAACAACAACAACAACTTTATTTTTATACCCTGCCACCATCTCCTCGAAGGGACTCAGGGCAGCTTACAAGGGGACAAGCCCAAGTTACAGATAAAAACAGCATTAAAATCAATCAAATAAAAACATAACACAATCAAAGACAACATCTTAAAACAATAAGGCTGAGATAACAGTCAAAGCTGGGATCAGGCTCAATTAAGTGCTATGCTTCCGATTTGGAATATTTAGCAACTTCTGGAATATTTTTTGCAATGGATATGTAATACCGAACCATTAATGATGTTATAAACAAGGGGTGCTTCTACACTGCACAATTACTTCAGTTTGACACCACTTTAATTGCCATGGATCAATGCTATGGAATCCTGGAAGATGTAGTTTTTTGAGACACCAGCATCATTTGGGAGAGAAAGTCTAAATACCTCCTAACACTTACTAAATTAAGCACCCTAGGATGCTTGCCAGCCACTTGAAGGGCAGATGGCCACACATCCCCATGACATCCCTCAACTTATGGCGGAGATCCCATGGAAGCATTCTAGGACACTTCCTCGTCAACATGGGAAGGCTCCCGTGTTGTCCTGGTTCTACTGGAGCCAGCACACTTCTGCTCCGGTTGGGTGACGCTTCCCCCATGTGATGGAGGAAGCATCATCACATCTGAGCAATGTGCAAAGCGACAGAGTCGCTCGGTGTATCATGAGTGTGTGTGTGTGTGATAAGGTCCAAAGACCTTGTAAAACTACAACTGCCAGGATTCCATAGCA